TACTTTAAATGATTATGTAAGTTCCTACATAATATTCTCGATTTTGTGTTTTGGCCCACAAAGACGAAAATATTTACTATGTGGCCATCTTTAAAAAACAGTTTGCAGACCCCTGGGGTCCAGAGAATAGGTAGCAAAGAATAAACCAACATAGGTCAATGGAAGACTAAATGTGGAGAAAAAAAGGGTGAGCAGACAGACTGAGTAACAACAGAGAAGTCAAGGAAAATGGGTACCAAGAAAAGATAAATGAATGTGGAAATTAGGAGGACACTGCTGACATTACAGGATATAGAAATAATACTAGGAATTGGAATTTAAGGTATTAAGAAGAGTGGGTAGTGACAGAATAGAGTAGAAGAAAAAACACAAGCAAAGTGCTAATGGAGGGAGCAAGATCAAGTGAAGGTTTTCAGCAGGGTTCAGAACAATTCAAGGGTGAGAGGTAGAGGGAAGCAACCTAGTATAACAGATTTTTTAAAGAAAGGCATCAGAAATGACTATAGGCACAGAATGAGAAGAGCTACCTCTCTTCATTGAAGAAATTAAAAACAGGAATAAATGATAGCATATTCTAATATGGGAGAAGGAAAACAAGAAAGTTCACATTTAGTTATTTCATTATTTCCAGGAAAGCGAGAAACAAAAGATATCTACTAAGAGTGATAGAACTTTTCCAGGAGAGTAAGCAAATAGGACACAAAATGTGGAATAGTAAGGACCTGTTTGTTATTGATTTTGAAAGCAGCTGAATTAAGCATTTTAAAGTTCTCAAAGTAAAAACTAAATTAAGTACTACTTTGACCTTCATATAGTTCTTCATTGGTATTTGTTCCTTTTAGCATTTAGCGTTATATTCAAAAGTAGGCAACTATAACTTACTCAAGTGTTTAACTTACTCTTTACACATTCAATTGTGAGCCAAAAAAATTTTATTCACACATGGAATGAAATTATATGTGATTTATAAACAAATAAAATAATTTACGTTAAAATCCTAGGTAGAAATAAGATATAGAAGCAAAACCAACCAAAAGCAATCTCATATTCCCTAACTCCCCAAGGAACTGGTCGGTTTGTCTTTTCTGGCATATATCACATCTATAAGAACATCAACTACATAGGAGTCTAGGGAAAGTAAAACTTTAGATAATTTTGTTATCTGACATAGTCTAAGCATTCTGTGACATTTGAACTGTGATGTAATACAGTAAAGGCTGTTTAATTTAGTTCATAAGGCCCAGATGGCTGTGCCTTTTAAATTGTACCTGTCTTTTACCACTTTCTAGTCTTTTTCCTTAATATCAGGATACTGTAATCACTCGAACTCCATAGCATTCCTGAGAAACAAATTCATTTATCCCTAATTTACTTCTTCTAAACTTCTACGAACTTGAAGACAATATAAAAGTCTGCTAAGTTAGAGCGTGTGCTTTCAGATCTTTGTTTTGGCTGCTCATAGATGTTTTATTTCTTGGGGTAGTACCAAGATGTTGGGGGAGCTCTTTCTTCATGGTTCTCAGCTAACTGACATAGAACAGGAAAGAAGCTTTAATTCAGCCTCACAATAATAAATCTGTATATTCTGTCCCTTAAAAGCTGGTGAACATTGTGGCAACAGGAAACATTATTATTTGCAGTATTATTTGCATTTACAGAGCACATGGAACAAAGTCTGGCACTTAGGATTTCAATAAACGCTTTTTCAATATATCAAACTGAAATGAACTAAATGGTTAATATTCATTTTATTCTCCCAACAAAATCAACAAGAAATATTATCCTGATGTTTTACCTTAAGTAAGATGTTTTATCTTTTAAGTAAAGTTAAGTCCTACGGACAGAAAAACTCTGAAAGAAACCTCAAGTACTATAAGAAATGATGAGTAGATGGCAGTTAGACCCAAGGATAAACTATGCTAGTATTGCTGAAAGGTTTTTTTAAACTCAAGATCTTGTCCTCAAACAGTTACTAAAGTTCTCAGGGTATATTCCAAAAGAGCAGGGTACTAACCTTAGCTCTTTGGTCTAATTCCAAGTCTGGTAATTATATGCTGCCTATTAAAATTCTCCTTACAGTTCTAATTTAATATGGTGGAGTTCAGTTCCTGTCAAACAGCTCAGAGCAATGCTACCAGCTGCAATCCTTATTCCATACAGTGCAATGTTTTAGATGTGATTAAGTCATCATTTAGCATTTTTTAGGGAAGGAGATCATGCATTCATTAAAATATTTTTCCACTTATAAAGAACATATAATCCATTAAAAAATAATAGCCAAAGTTCCTATATCTAAAAATGTCCTGGTGAATTTTAGTTATGTTCTTAATAAGAGTATAAACATAACAAAAAAACTTTTCAAGCATGTCACTTTTAAGTTTTACAAAGAAAAAAACAACTAAAAAAAAAACCTCACAGACTCAATTTAAGCAGAAGCTCTTTGTACTTTCCTTCTCAAAAAACTTAGAAGACTAGAGTCAGCATTTCCCCATTTCTCCAATCTGCTAATATCATAACTGAGTAGAACAACCACAAAACATCAGGTAGGTGAACAAGTGACAAAATTAAACTAAATAGGAGTGTATGGCTATTAAATTATACCTTTAGCTGGCACCATATTAAAAGGCATTCTGGCAGCTATAGTACTTTGAAGGGACTTAGCATAGAACAGAAAACAGTAGCACAGAAATGGAATTATTCATTACAATTGTACAAACTATTGAAGTAAGGTCCTAAAACATATCTTAAGGCTTACAGACGCAAATATTAAGTATAGTCCTAGGGAGAACCATTACCCTCCAGAACTTATTCTGTGATTCTTCAAAAAAACAAAACAAAAAAACCCTTTCGTGTTTCTAGCATTTCAATGTGTCTTAAAGAATGTTTCAAAATTAGTTCCGTAATTTTGGCATACCCCAACTACATGTTCTGCAAGTCAATACACTACTAACAAGTTGAAAGGAAAAAGTTTCTATTAGCTATAAGTGTTTTCCTACCTGTATATTCAGTTTGTAAAATATCTATCATTGTTTGGAATACTGACATATTTCTTACTTAAGAAGAAAATTAAAAATAAATGTACTAAGAACACACCCTATAACCATTAGAAGTCCACAGTCCTTCCAGGCAAAGAAAACACTTCTACCACTGACCTAAAAAAAAAAAAAGAAACCTAAAAACCAGGAGCCAAGAAAACTAGCCTTTCTCTTGGGGGCCAAACAACTTAAAGATTTCATCAACTTCATTACACAAAATTAGACCTGACCATAACAGAAAGCAAGCAAAAGTACGAAGTTTTTATTTTTGATTAGTGTGTTTGCAATGGTGAAGACACACCCAGCTAAATAATTTTCTTTAAAAATATAAGTAGGGTAGAAAATGTAACAACCTTATACTTTCAAAACGATAAATTATGAAAGACTATAAGTTTTGTTTTTTTTTCCCCAATAGTAACACAGAGGTATAATAATAGAGGTCCACGATCCAATCCAAAAATCTTAGGGCCAAATATGTCCTGGAATTCAGGTATTTTCCCCTTAGATTTGGAAATACTGCTTAACAACCCTCAGTGGGGTCCAGGCCAGGACACGGTAATCAAATGTATTCATATTTCTGCAGGAAAACATATAATATTTAAAAAAAAGAGCCTCATTTTAGTCAAGATCTACTATCAAGGAAGTTAACATCAGGTCAGGTTTTGTGGCCAATTTCTGTTTTTAGAACTTTATGGATTTTGAATAAAAGACTGTGGAGTTGAATTGAAAAAATAGAGATAAATTAGGCAAAAATTCTTAATTAACTTTATCCTTAGCTTAAAACACATTACATAATACAGAACTATCTGCTAACCCTTAAAGTTTACAAATTTCAAGACAGCAGTAGAAATTATATTTCAAGTTTTTTTTCTACAATATGTTACACATACTATACTACGGTAGCTTAATTCATACATCCAAAGAAAATCAAATGTTTATTTATGACATGAAATAAAATATACAAAGTGAATTCATACTCAAAATGGTAAATGTCTTCCTTTATAGTACTTTCTAGTTTTTAAAAAAACAACAATTATCTCTACTACTTAATAAAATCTTGCAATTGCAGTGTTGGATTTGCAACTAGCTTAAAAGGTTATGTAAGTCTAGACTCTGGGGTAATGAAAATTCTGCAGTTGTACAAAGAAACTCTCCATTTCTTTCTTCTTTCTGTTGTCTTAAGGTTTGGAAAAAAAGGAATCTATGTTTGTAAGAGGAACAGAAATGTTTATTATAAGAAAAGTTATATGTTCTCTTGAAAACAGCACAGTAGAGTGGTGAAGAACACCGCCTCTGGAGTTAAGCAAAGAGTAGGCACTCAAATTCCATCTCTACCACTCAGTTGCTTTGTGACCTTAGGAAGGTAGTTAACGCTGTGCCTCAGTTTCCTCATCTAAAAATGGGGGAAATAATAATACCTACCACGTGGAGTCGTTAATGAGAATTAAATGCTAAACAAAAATGAGTAAAAAATATACTCAGTCATAGGTAGAGCAACAGGAAGAATAGATAAGAGGCAAACGAGTGATATTAATAACAACTGGCAAAGTTAATGCAGTATTACCGATCAGTAATTTCTGTGATCTTAATCACACTTTTTTAAGCCCAGAATGGCTTAACATAGATTTTTTAAAAAATACAATAAATACTTACTTTGTGTTTCATTACTTGAAATACTATAAATTGAAATAATTTAGCATCTCTATCCTTTTATGATGAAAATAATCATTATCTGAACTTATTATTTCCATAGTCTACTACAATGCCTCAAAGAAAGTTTCTGTAAAAAGCTCTAAACATAGTTTGCATGTATCTTTAGCACTCAGGAAATAAGAATATTTGATACATCAAATTATCTAATTCCCTGATGATATCAGATAGACGATCCATCAAACATCATGGTACTAGAAATACACCACTTGCTTCACTACACAATCTGACAAAGTACTGCATGAGAGACCTTACCTATCTTCATCTTTGTCATAGAGTTGGTAATAATCTCCACAGCCATTCCAGAAGCTGTTATCCACAACTTCTTGCCTTCCTGCTGTGGCTCCACTTACTGGTGCTATTCGGTCATTTTCTGTTTCGCTTTCTGTAACTCTTGCAAAAGGTAGATCCAAGAACATACAGTCATGTTCTCCATCATATTCTTCACATTTTATTAAGAGATCATCTGAGCCGCTTTCCTCGACTTCCAAAGCCTCCCTCCATCTCTGAACACTTCTTTGTTTAACATCATGCCTACTAAAACCTGTTTCTTGGTCCACCTGGCTTGAACTTATCAGTTTTCTAACTTTTGGCCTCACTACCTGTTCAGGAGAACTTCCACGGTTGTTGTCCCTACCACTGGCACTTTGTTCACTACATTTATGCTCCAGTACACAGACTGCATTTTTTGCTGAATTTTCTGTCTGTCTTTCCTGGCTAGTATTATTTTGTTGCTTCTTTCTAACAACTTCATCTTCGGAAGAAGACCTCTGAAATTCCTGGTTGTTCTGATGGATACACTCAGTATTATCAGTAGCATTTTTCATTAAAGGTGCTGAATCTAACTCTTCAAACTCATCTCTTATTTCACAGTTAAAAGAGGGAACTGGTGGTGAAAGACCAGTGTATGCCTCTGCCTCTCCATTTTCCAACTCAAATACTGTATTGCCTAATGCTTCCTGATATCTACCACCTTCTACAACTTCTGCAGAAAGTTGAAGACGGTCATTCTCCTCTCCATGTTTGCCATCTGGATCAAAAGAGTCAGTCTGAGCCAATGCAATTCCATTTTGGACACTTGAAGCATTACAAGCTCCTGGAGTATACTCTCCCTCAGAGTGATTATGAAGATTCATATTGCTTCCTAATGTCTCCCTGTCTTCCTCACTATGATGTACTGCAGCAAAGGAAGGACTGCTCTCAATGGTTTGATTCAATGCTGTATCACAAGCAGGAATTTCTGTTTCACTTTTTTCAAATATAGGTTCATTGGGTAAAGAAAAATGAACTTGATCCAATGGACTGGAACCTTCACAGGGAACAAAAGAAAATACATTTGGAGGGATTAATTTAGATATAATTTTATGTAATAATTATCACTTAAGTGGAAATTATACCAATTATTACCTTGAAAATATGAACGAATTTGTTTTGCGGTACTTCTATGCTCCCTAACTTAATCAGGAGTGCAGATTGGTTACCCTATGAGTTCATCTATGTTACATAGCTTCTCTATATCCTCTCCCTCACATGTCTTTTGCCTAAATTGTTCACCTCAATCTTGATACCTAAAATTTTCTGTAAGACATATAGAAAGGCTAGTGAGAGGCTAGACAATGGGAAGTATAAATGGAATAATAATGTAACCAATATGCCCTTCCAGCAATCTCCAAACACACCTTCTCTGATTACATGTGGGTAAAAAATGCACAAAACTTCACAAGTACTTATGACAGCTACATTAACAATAGGTTACAGATCTAAGAGAAGGGAGACTGTACCGCATTTTGACGTCAATTCAGAATACTATAGCTCAGTCTCTAGACATATATTAGATTTGTTTCTCAAAAATGAATTGTTGCAGTACATTTTTAATGAATTAACTTTAGATGTGTTATAGCTATGACTGGAAAACAAAAAAAGTCAAGATTCTCTTTGCCATAGTTTATGAGAATCCTGAGACATAAGTAAAATCACATCTATTCTATAAATTACTTAAAGCATGACTATCTTTCATCACCATTAATTTAACAATAAAAAGGAAGACATTTGAGTTTTGTTGGAAAAAAAATGTATGTTATAAAATAACAAGCTCAGCCTTGTCATATTGCAAAAAGCTTTTTTAACAAAATTACCTTAGCTAGCAATTCAGATTCTTATACATAAATGACAGTAAAAATAATCTAGAAGTATCAGATTTGCTCAGGACAAGAAGAAGGTACATCCAGTCCAAAAATGTACAATCCTAGTACATGGGTATCTGCAAAATACTTTTTTAAAGCACTAAATAATTAAGAAATTTTAATTTAATAACTAAGCATTACTTGACATTTATATTTAATAAAATGATAAAAAAAATAAACTAGCCAAGCTAAATTATTTAGAGATAAAATCAAAAGAATAGTTGAAAAATAAACTCAGGTCACATTAAAAAGATGTTTTTTTGACTGAAAGATGATTTCCTCTGGCTGAAGGACGTGACAGTGTAATCACTGCCATGACAATGTAGTTATACTTAATGACTGGAAGTATTTTATTCTCTTCTATGTTTAAATATATATTAATATTAAATTTAATGAAAATTTCAAAATTGAATTTCTTGATAGGAAATGCACTACATTTGCACTCATAGACACACATAAAATCCACTCATATTTAAAAATATTACAAGATCAATTCCTATACAAGTATTAATAACCCCTAAATAATTACATGTTACATACCAGAGGAATTTTCCTTTGGAACATCATCTAGTTCCAACACTTCATAGTCATCACCAGCCCGACCTAAGCTTCTTTCATGCCTGGTCATACATGGTTTAAAACTGACATATGCATGTCTCCTTCCATATCTCCTGCCTGTAATTGTCTGATATCCTCCTGCTGGTTTGGGCCAAGCAGCCTTGCCGGATTCTTGATCCATTGCTGAAAAAAAAAAAAAGTTAAAAAAATAAAAGAGGGACAGTAATGACCTCAATCTAGTTACCAGTGGGGGAGGGAATTGTACATAAATGCTATTATTTACCAAATCATATGGTACTGAACATCAAGTGCACCTAACTAGTACTATAAAACATGGTCCTTCTTCACACACTAGAAAATTAAACATAAAATACTATGTAATGAGAGTCAGTGGACTCTTTCCCCCAAAAACCAACCTTTTAAAATTTGGTTCCTTTAAGTTATTTCAGATTTTTATAATAAAATCTACCAGAAAAGATTTTTCATATGCCAAATTACTATACTGTGAAAGCCCTCTATGGACTGGAGAAAGATCTTCCAAATTACCTAAGTACCTTACATATCAGTGTTCAATTACTAGCACACGATATGATGGTTTCAACTACTTTAAGAGTGAATATGTTCCTGTCAAATGTAACAGATAAGTTCTTTAAATGGTATCTGTATCTAAAGAATCAACTAGACCACAATAAAATATGTCCCAAAGCCTAGAGTCAGATAAAATTCCCCAAAAGAAAACAGTCATGGGCCAAGTCAAACACATACTACCACACACACCTTTTGAAAACTACCAATGAATAGTATATATTATGATAAGAAAAGCTACCAACATTTAAACAACATGAATATTAAATTTTGATGACTGAGGGATATACAGTAGTAAACAGTAGCATCTTTTACTAGGTAAATAGAACCTTATTTTATATATAAATTAAGTATAAGTTTGCTTGGTCAATTACATATTATGTATATTAAGCAGGAACTAAACAAAATACTTTCTCACAGTATATGGTATAGTGCATAAATGCAAGTTACATATTTTTGTTTTACTACATTAGAATAATATAATCTCTTCCAAGCACAAAAGAGAAACAAACATATACAACCAAGCTTTGCTTAACAATGGGGATATGTTCTGAGAAATGCATTGTTAAGTAATTTTGTCACTGTAAGATCAGAGTATACTTATACAAACCTAAATGGTATGGCCCACTACACACCTAGACTATATATATGGTATAGCCTCTTGCTCTGACTACCATTGTATATGTGGTCTACTGTTGACCAAAACTTCATTATGTAGCCCATGACTGTACTTATAACATGCAGTATCAAGTGTTACATTCTTATTTAATCCTCTCAATCACCTTATAAGGTGGATACTGTATTCCATTTTAAAAATCAAAATATTAGAGTTAAAATTAGGTGTTTAAGTAACTTGTCCAATAGTATGATTCCAGAACCAATGCCCTTAACAACTCCTCCAAAGTTAGTCTCCAAAGTGGAAAGCACAAGAAACCAAGAGGGTATGAAAAGAAAATATCAGAATTTCTATTCATACTTATTTTCATATCAAAAAGTAGAAATTAAGCTTCACAAATATTCAGTACATGAACGGAAACCAGCTTTTAGTTAAGACCTTTTGTCAGATGATCACATGTCACATATGGCACTCAACATACCCAGAGGGAAAAACAAGAAGTCCTCAATATAGAAGAATCAGCACCTTCCTTACCTGCTGGCTCTTTTTCAGTGTACTGTGACATATGTGGCAGCTTCAGTATGCCCAGTTCAGTAGAATTATGGATGTGATTTAGTTTTTACTCACACAATGGATAAGCTGCAGAAGATTCCTAAAAAGAAACAATTGAACAAAATACTAATAATAAAAGCACAAAACAAAAATAACAAAACTGGTATTTCTCCTTCTAGTGAAGCTCTTTATTAGTCTTATAACTCAGAAAAATAAAATCTGACTGGACAAGTCAATTAAAAAACTTCACAACTGTCAAAATGGCTATTTGAAATACAGATTTACATCTGCTCTTGATAAACCTTGTCTTAAGTATATACCATCCTTAGGATTCCTTAAGAATACCAATGACAACAACAGAAGTATAATTTACAAGTAAATAAGCAAATATATTGGGAGAAGTGCTGACTGGGGTATGTGACCAAACTATTCAGGAGCTTACTACACTGTGCTAGCTTTTCTTCTCTGTTAAGCACTATATAGTTCCTTTAGCCTTGGAATTGTTAAAAGTAGTTAACCTTAAGAATACACACTTCATGTTAAAAAATGTAGAATGGCTTATGACAATAATTAATGTGTATAAATAATGAAATATTATTCTTTACAATAGTCAATTGATCAGATAATTATTTCCAAATAAGAACCTAGTCTATCAGGAAAAACTACAATTTACCATGTAACAAATACAAAAAGACCTTCTGTTTTGAAATTAATTAATTAATTAATTATTATTTGAGAAGTTGCAACCTGTTTTTTGTTTTTTTTTTTTTTTTGAAAGTTTGCTAAGGACTTGGTTTTTTATTTAAACACCTAATTTACCTAAATGCTTGAGTTACTGTTAATTACCTATCATTAATGCAAATTTATTTGAAGATGAGAGCTCTGCAAATGAGTTTAACTGTATTTGTTATCTTTCTCATAGTGAAGAGCTACATATTAACATACATATGAGTATACACACACCTTCACCCATATAAACTGTAAATTCAGGAACAGGTTGTGATCCTCTATATATCTGAATCAAGTCAGACTGTTAAAGAGAAAAGGAATATCCAAAAAAAAAAAAAAAGTCTTAACATACTGGCAAAAACACAGGCTCTAATTAACATTGTTTTTATAAGAAAAATAATCTGAAATAACTTGAATCACTGGAGGTAACAGTACAGTACGTGGCAATTGTAAAAGACGATCATGGATTTAAATTCATATAATGAGTATTTTACCCAAAGTCTTTTCTGTGGAATAAGGCCTTATTCTACCATGTTCCAAGCATTATTTTCAGAGTTGGAAACACAATAATATAAAAAATGGGTAAATATTCCTGCCCTCCTAAAATTACAGTATGAAGCGTAGACACTAAACAAAACAAATAACTAATAAATAAATAAATACTATTTTAGGTAATACATACTATGGAACAAAATAAAGCAGGGAATAAAGAGCTGTTGAGGGTATATACAAAATAGGGTGGTTAGAGCAGGCCTCACCGAGAAGGGATCATTTGAGCAAACACCTGAAGTGAGAGAAAGAAACATGTATACATCCAGGGAAAGAGTACTCCAAGCACAATAAACAGAAGATCCTGAAGTGAGAACTTCCAGAAGTGATTGAGTAATAGCAAGAAGTCTGCAATGAAACGAGCAAGACAGTAATAGATGAAGTTAGAAAATTAAAAAGGGAAAGGGTGGGGGGAGTAAAGCGGAACAGATCACATTGGCCTTTATAGACAAATGTGAAAAATGTGGGTTTTATTCTGAGTGAGATGGAAAGCTGCTGAACAGTGCTGAGCAGAGCAGAGCAGAGACATTATTTGACATCTGTTTTAAAAGGAATATTCTCGGTACTTCATTGAATAGCCTGAAAGGGAACAAGGTCAAAGGCAGGTAGCCCAGTTACAAAGCTATCAAAATAATATTGGCAAGAGATCACAATGGTTTAGACTAGCATAAAAATAAAGGTAGTGAGAAATGGCCAGATTCTGGATATATTGTGAAAACAGAGCCAACAAAATTTACTGATATAGGATATGAAAAAACGGTAAGGAGTTGAGGTTGACTCCAAGTTTTATAGGCTGGGCAACTGAAAAATGGAGTTGCCATTAATTGATGTAGGAAAATTTGTAGAGACAGATTTGAGGAACATGTCTTGAATTCAGTTACAGATGTATTAAGTTTGAGATACCTATGAGACATTCAAGAGCAAATATTAAATAGAAGTATGAAGTTAACTGGAGAATTCTGAGCTGTTAGTGTAATTTAGGATTTGTCAGTGTATAGAAAATACTCAAAAAGACATGAACTTGGATGAGACCTCCAAGTGTACATGAAGAAGTAAAGAAATTCAAAGTCTGAGCCCTGAGACAATCCAACATTAAGAGGCCAGGGAAGAAGTACCAGAAAAACTAACAGAGAGAGGCCAGTAACAGAATAGAAAAATCCTGGAATGTAGATGCCTCGTGAGCGAAGTATTTCAGGAAGAAGAACTGATCCACTGTGCCAAAAGATAAAGTACAATGAGGCACTATAGCTGACCACTAGACTTAGCAACATGGAGGATACCGGCGATCTTGAAAAGGGCACCTTTGGTAGAATGGTGGGTGCAAAAGCCTGACTGAAATGTTGTTGAGACAGAGGAAAGGAATTGGAAAGAGTACAGAAATCATGAAAATCACCCTGTTTCTTAAACTTCTCTTTAATTAGATTCTACTCTCTTCTTAAAGATACTGTTTTTGGAGCTCTCCAACATCCTGATCTAAATTTAGTCTACTTATTTTCAAGGCCTGTTATCCAGCTATTTTTGTGGTATCTTTTGATTGTACTACTGAGCTAAGATGTGTGATTTGAATATCTTGCTTTCTTAATTTTTTTTTCTAAAACTGTTCATTGTTATTATTGTTTTACATTGTAAGGTATTGTTGCAGAGCAGTGAGAGGAGGAGAGGGGAGGAGGGAGGGACTGGTCCATGGCCGGCTCCTTCACTGGCCTGACTGAGGAGGGCAGGGGTGCATGGCTGAAGCCCTCGGTACCCCCCACCCCCACCCGGCTTGGGGACCCAGGAGGCTTCTGGTGGCAGCGCAGTCATCGCCAGGCTGGATGTGGATGTCAGGGAAGTGTGGCTGAGGCTCTTGGACCCCCCTCATCCTGGCTCAAGAGCCCAGGGGGCTTCTGGCTCTTCTAGGTTTTGTAGGTGTTCTTTGGTGGTGTTAGACCTTTACTGGTTAATATCAGAACTCTGTCTCTGATCTGTGGGTGTTTTGAGTTTTCCTTCACTTCTGTGTTGGAATATCGGTTACCCCCACCACTTAAATTCTGCACTGGAACTAATTTGTTGCCCTTGACTTACTTCTAAAATGGAGAAACTTCCTGTTGGGACCAGCACTTGAGCCCCGTAGTTGAGCTAAATGCCCCACCACTTAAATTCTGCACTGGAACTAATTTGTTGCCCTTGACTTCTAAAATGGAGAAACTTCCTGTTGGGACCAGCACTTGAGCCCCGTAGTTGAGCTAAATTGCTGCTCTGTTGCTGATTCTCTGGGGAAGACTTTTTGTGCAGCTCAAGTTTTAATTGTTGGCCTTGTAAGCACTTTCAGGTCTTGTGAGGTCCTGTACAACTGGGTTGTATGGAAACTCTGGTCTGGGCCTGAGTGTTTTCAGCAAACTGCACCCCCTACAGTTCTACATTTCTGATCAGTTTCCACTGAGTGGGCCTGTGCTGACTGAAGGGCAGATCAGCTGTCCATGCCGTGCCCCAATGTTCCCCCATTGGAACCATTTCCCTCACCCTGCAAACTCCAAACACATCTCATGGGGTGGGCCATGCGCTGGTCCCTTGCAATGACTTACCGGCCTTTGAGTGGCTCCTTTTTTCAGTTGTCTGTTGCCCCTCACTCGTATGTGGGTCCATGTCTGTGGTTTTGCTGGCCTGGGGGACACCAAAGCCCTGCAGTCTCCAAACAACTTTACACAAAGTGCACAGCTGCGGTTTTTGCCAGCTTTTGCTCCATCTGCTCACTAGGGCCAGCTTTGAAATGGCTGGGGATCAAAATGGTCAGAGCAGTCCCTTCTTTCTCTCATCGCAGCTTCTCCCACCTTCATGAACTTTGTAGGTCTCTCCTCCTCTTCCCCCCTGAGTAGCCCCAGCTTGGCAGTCTTTGCTTTTTAATAGTTGTGAATTGGTTGATTGTGGGAGACAGTGACACTGGGGACACTAAAGACCATCTATCTCATTTTTTTTTCTTTACTAGAAGATCCTCAAATAATTGTTTCAGGAAATATACATAGCATGTGCACTTTGAGTTCTCATATGTCTGAAAATATTTTTATCTTTCTCTCACACTTTGGTACGGTTCAAGACAAAACCATTTTTTTCTAAACTCTGAAAGGCACTGTTTTATAGTATCCTTTGTTACTGTTAAGAAAGTGTCCTACTAATTTATTTCTCCTTTTGTAGAAAAACCAAATATTTCTCTCTGGAATGTTTAGAATCTTGTCTTAATAAGTGGCATTCTGCAATTTCACAAGGACTTATTTAGGGGCAGGCCATTTAAAAATTTATCCTACACAGCAATGGATGGGCTGTTTTAATTTAAAGACTCCTGTCAGTCTCCCAAATATGCCCCCCTCCCTGTTCATATTTCTCTTTATTTGGCCCACATGCATTAATCCTGTCTCTAAACTTTTCTTTCATATTTTCACTCTATGGACTGAGAGATTTCATTCACTTTTACTTCTGGCCTTCCATAATTATCTGTAATAATCTTTTAAATTTTTTATATTTTCTTGTTCTCTGATTATTATTATTTTCAATAGTGGTTCTTGTTTTATGAATAAAACATAGATGGCTCTCTTTAGATACTAATTATCTCTATTTCATCTAAGGTCACTATATTCAAGTGTCTATGACAATATTATCTCCTTCCTATCTCTGAAGCATAAAAAAGCAGAACAGGGAGGAAAGGGGATGAATAGGGAATAAAGACCATAGTTGTGTGTCAAGATTAGAATGATTAATTCATCAGTTCCAAATTTGTATGTACAGTAAATTGGAAACATTCAGTCTCTGAGTTTTCTCTAAACAGATGTTTCCTTCACTGAATTAGT